GTAGATTACCTACCGCTGCATTGGCAGCGTTGACATTATTGCTAGCATTCATAACCGATTGTAGTGCGCTGCTTAGCGCTTGCGGTGTAATGGGACTGCTGAGCGGCAAATTACCGCCCGATAGCGCCGTACCTGTGGTGATAGTGACCGCTTTCGATTGACGTACAATGGGTGATTGTAGGGTGCTCGCATTTGAACTTGGATTCGAGTACAAATTGGCATTATTGGTGCTTGTATTGCTGTTTGATATTTGGGCTAAACTCTCATTGGCATTTGTATTCACATTTGTAACGCTGCCATTCTCACCGCTATTACCACTTATGCTGGAATTAATATTACTATTGGCATAAGTGGTATTAGCATTCGTATTTGAAGTATCACAGTTCAACACTTCTCTATTATTATTGACAATTTCTCGTGTAATAGACACCTCATCGTTCACTTCGGTATTTGCGGCAGGTAGAATATCGTCGATACTATTTTTGAGTTGTTGTGCTAACTGCTCTTGTTGCTCATGCGATTCATTATTTGGATTTTCAGACATAATTTCGTTATTTGCGTTGGCAGCGCCCGTTGTTGTTACTGGTGTTGTTAGTGGGACTGCTGGAATTGCTGTATTATTAGTGCTGGTGATCTCTGTCGTCCTTGCAAGAACTTCCGTTGTATCTGCGATCTCACGATTACCTGTGTCTGTTGTGTTAGCTGTTGTTGCTGTTTGTGTGCTTCCCGATGTTCTCTTTTGTTCATCTTCGCTATTGTTGAGCCATTCGTTGCTGGCTAAAACCATACCTGGAGCGAAATTGTGTAAATCACAATAAGTTATAGAAAATATATTACCAAATAATAAATAAACATATGTAAGTATGTGCGTATGTGCGTAAAACATTCAACTCATCAGCAATATTAAAGCGGTGATATGACGTTCTATGTACGCACATAAATTTCTCAAAGTGCAGATAGTGGATTGCGGTTAAAAAATTAAATAGTAAAAAGCGCCGGGTATTTATTTAAAAAATATATATTTTCAGGGCTGCTGGTTGTCAAATACAATTTTTTATCTATTTTTTTCTATAAATATAAATATTACTCATTGAGTGTGCCACTTTTAGAAATAAATCATTTATAGGCAAAGGTATGAATAGTTAATAGGCAAACGCTGCCATTTGAACGCACTGTTTTTTAATAAGTGGAAATTTAATTTGGTGAATTCTATTTCTTTATTTAGCAAGTATTTTCAAGTTTCCTAAGCATTAAATAAAATGATTATTAGATTGATTTTATTTATTTATAATTGATCAACACACAAAAATGTATAATGTTGTAAATATGTATTAGCATAAGTATCTTTGATACGCGCACAAACCGAACGTGTTGCATGCATGCGTAAAGTAAACAAACTAACAAGTATCCATACATTGAATACCAGAGGCAATAACCCAGAAACTCTTGAAACATATTGCATTTTCAACAAATAATACTTCATAATGAATTGCTTTCTCACACAGGCCACTGAAATAAGTTGGGAAATATATTTCTATAAAAATAGCAAGAATGTCTGGTAAAATTATGTATGTATTTACTTATGTGTACATGTACACATGTATCTACATACATACATTGTTGTAAAAATATTTCTATACATACATATATATATGTAGATGTTGAATTGTAAACATATAAACGAAGTTAGTTGTTAGATTTAAGGATTTATTTTCAAAGGTATATTTTTCTCATGATTAAACCAACTGATTTATGTTAATTATATTTCACTTAACTGTCAACGAATAGAAGAATAATTTTAGGTTAAATTATACAAACTTTTTGTTTTTTAATAGTCATCATACTCGTAACAGCAACATTCGAAAATCATACAAGTAAAATAAGCTATGAATAATTAAAGAAATAAATATTCAATAAAAATAGAAAAAGTAATGAAAAAATTTACATATAAATACACTATATTTGGCACCTTAATGTAAATATGTATGTATGTCAAATAGCCCATAACTGTGCATCAATAAAAAAAAAACTGAAAATAAATAATGGCAACGTGGACACCAAAAACTAAGCTAGAAATGAAAAAGGCATTAATATGCAATAAGTATCAATAACATCCTATGACGAAAGAAAGAAAGTTGTATAGAGAGTACAATCGAGATAGAATGACTTTCTGATTAAATTTGAAGCAAAATACATTTTGTAAATGTGTTCAATAAATAAGCCAACTAATGTTGTACATAAATGTAGCACCTGCATATTATTTACGCTACATTCATGTCTGTAAAATGTGAGTTATAATGGTTCCCACTTATGGCGTGCAATGTGAAGCGACAAACATGCTGTGTGCATACCCTGACCAGTTCCATACCAGCAAAACTGCAACTGCCACAGACCCGCTTTTATGCATCAACTTGCATTTCCATTACACTATAGTCACTATATATGTTTTTGTTATGTATTTCGTTGTTGCACTCCACCCGTGTCTTTCGTTGCGAGTCGATTACACTGACACAATGGTGCTATGGCTATAATGTTATTGGCTCCGCAAGACAATTTGACCGAGTAATCACTACACTGTCGTTGACTGCCTGATTGACGAGTAGCGCTTTACTGCTGCACAGAATGACAAAGTAGAAATTCTTTATTATGCACAATAAACGAATATTTAAGAGGCGACAAAAACAGTATTGGTGGTGGGGATATTCACTATATAAAAATAAGCTCGGTTTGGCACTTCTGTGCTTACTTATTCCAACTGTAGTTATAAAACAACTTATGCACAACACACCAAATTAATATATATATTAATTCAACTTTAAATTGCTTAATTGAGTTTAATTGCACTTGTGACACAAACTTCGTTATGGGCAACTGTTCGCTGTTGTTGCCCTTTTGTTATCTCACTAACTGTTTTGCCAAAGAGTTTCTACCTCATCCATGTTTATCTTTTTTGGTTGATATACATATAGGCACTTGGCACTTTACGGCTATATTTACTGTATTACAATTTTTTCTTCTTGGCTCAAATATATCTTCATTGCTTATATTATTTCGCATTTCATATAATCGATTGTATTTCTTTATATTCACGCTCGCTTTTTAAACCTGACAATCTCGTATTTCGTTTTCTATTGTTCGCTGTTCCTTTATATTCCGCTGTTTACTCCTCACCGATGTCGATGATTCTATATGGCTGCTTTTTCTGCCCGCCCTGACCAAACAGCTACAATTGCTACAACAACACAATTAATATCTACATGAACACACACTCACCTCACAAATCGTTTGCAAAACTTTGTTCGCAATTAATTAGAAACAAATGAAATTTTGTAACTATATAATATTAATTAAATGTATCGCATTTAAAACGTAAAATTATTATATTTATTCGTTTTTTTAATTCTTATTATATTCACAGGAATTTTTTCAGTCGTTTCGTGCAGAAGAGAAGAAATTGATTGAAAATCGTAACAAAGTGCTGCCATACTGTCATTACAATTTGAAGTATGTAATTGTTGTGTTTTATGGTTGCTACTAAAAATTCTTGTGGAAAATCATTTCGGCGACTTTTAATAGCTCAACTTTGATTTTCAAGTTTCGTATGTATTTAAAGACCTAGTCGTTTCTTAATATTAATTTTGAAGATTTTTTTTTTCAAATATATCAATATAAATTATTTTATGTAATAAAAGTTTGTGATGTTTCTAAAATGGTTTGAAATCATATCATCATCTGAATCCAAATCCAAATTATATTACATATCTAAATACAAATATAAATTATTACGTTGGTATCATTATTTTTTATTGTACTTTTTTACAACTAATTATGTACTATTAAAACAATTTTTAAATTTTACACATTAGACAATGTAATGATACATGTGTACGCACTATAAATTTTTAAGCATCCCACATAATCCATCAGCTGATTTTTGTTTACATCGTGTTAGTTTTGATTTTCACAATTATTTTGCTGCAAAATGCTTCGGGCCAATTTTCTATATTTATGTAAGGTACAACAACTTTATTAAATATTGCTTTCTTGAATTCACACATTGTAATTTTCAGCGATCATTTGCTACACATTTGACACCAAAACAGCAGGAACTTATGGCACGGGGACTACCTAAAAGAGCGTCACTGCCAGGTGTAACGAATATAGTAATTGTAGCTTCTGGTAAAGGTGGAGTAGGCAAATCCACTGTAGCCGGTATGTGACATCGAAACTAGTGTAAAAATAATTTTCCAAATATTGCAAATTTTTTTATATTTAAAGTCAATCTAGCTGTTAGTCTTGCAAATATGGGTAAACATGTTGGGTTATTAGATGCCGACATATTTGGACCATCTGTGCCTCTAATGATGAACATACATGAAGAACCTTTAGTTGATGACAATAATTTAATGATACCACCCATTAACTACGGTGTTAAATGTCTATCCATGGGTCTACTCGCAAAACAAACGGACGCAATAATATGGCGTGGTCCTCTCGTAATGTCTGCAGTGCAACGACTTTTAAAAGGTGCAGTTTGGTCGCCACTTGATATACTTATTGTGGATACACCACCTGGCACAGGTGATGTACACCTTTCACTTGCTCAAAATGTGCCAATAGCTGGCGTGTTATTAGTTAGCACACCACAAAAGGCAGCGTTGGAAGTGACACTACGTGGTGCGCAAATGTACCGTAAATTGGGCGTACCGATAATAGGACTGACAGAAAATATGGGACATGCCATTTGTGGAAATTGCCAAATGCGTATGGAAATTTTTCAGAATGCAACCGATTCCTTTACAAAACAAATTGGTACAAATGTTTTGGCATCCATACCATTGGATGGAAATATTACGGAGTGTTGTGATAAAGGTGTACCTTCAGTAATTAAATATCCCGAGACAGAGTATGCAAAAAGCTACCAAAAATTAGCCGAATCTCTTACTCAGGCGTTACAGAAAAGCGTAACCGGCGAGCAGGAAAAGAAATAAAATTTGTATATTTTAATTTATTAACACAATTAAAAGAAAAAAATATTTAAGACTTATTTTTCTTCTGCTTTTTCATTTTTTGCATCGCCCTGCGGTGTGCATATTTTTCACGACGTGCAACAACCTCTTTGAACTTCCGTTTTGTATAATTTTGCGCAGTTTCATCCTCTAGCAAGTCATCTACCAATGAACGTTTTTTGTGACGTGTTCCACGCTCGCTGTAGTAATCTAAGGGCGAATGTTGCACTGTGCCAATCTGAATTTGCAACATAATGTTTATATGAATTGTTTTTTGTTTTTTTGTTTTTTGCTCAAGTACAACTTACTTGGAAATATTTTGGGAGGACTTTCAGATCATTCTTCTTGTAAAAATGCTTAGGATCAAGTACGGAGCGCATTTGCAGTATTTTAAGCTCATTGGTGGTTTCCTCTGTCTGTTCTGTAGCTGGTAGATTGTACCAACCAGGACCCTTCGTTTTAGAGCGCTCAATCTTTGAAGTAAAAATACATTAATAAATAATTCCAAAAACCAACGCAATTGATAATACATTTTTCAAACATTCATCAGTTTACTAAAGAAGTCATCAATGTGTACCTTAAGGCATCTCGGAAGATTTCTTATTATATATACATATATTGTCAAAACAGTGCGTTTCAAAAAGTGAATTAATGTGTGTTCCAAATTAAATCATCGGCACAAAACTTTATTACCGTTGACAGTCTAATGTTGTGAACATTACTGTCCCGCCGGCCTTACAGCAGTTGTCACAAGTTCTGACACAACTGCTAAGATTACAGCGAGTGAAACTATTGTTTTGCTGGCAATATGTACGAGTCTTTGGATGAAATCTTCTTCAAACAATGCCAAAAGGTAACGACCGCACTAATCAACTTGCGGCTTAAGATGTCGAATATATCATCAGATGTTTTGTGTTTATATGATCTTATTCTGATCTGTATATAACTTACCCTACCAATTTCCCGTTGTTTCTTTTTAGTAAGGAATGGTAGCTCTTTTAATCTACCAAAACCAGGTACTAATTGTGATTTCGCCATTTCCTTCTCTACATCGGTTTTTAATTTAAGTTCCACATCAAACTTTCCGGTCGCTGGATTGTAATCAGAGAAATCCATTTTATTGTAACGCCCTTGGGGAATTTTTACAGGATTTTCCTTCATTTGCAATAAAACCGAATCAATTCTTTCAGTAAGTCTATCTAATTTTTCTTCAATGTCACTTTTCGGTGTTTGTATTTTAGCTAGTTCCTCTTTGATGATTTGCGAAATGTCAATGTTGGGTGGTGGCAAACCTAAAATTAATTTCCGCAATGAATTGATTTTGAAACACTATGGATTATTTTAATTACCAAAGTAATCCTCATCTTCATCATTTTCCACTTCTGCTTCTTCGTTGACTGCTTCTTGGTCATGTCTGACGCCTTCTTCCAAAGTACGCCATTGTGAATTGGTTTCAACTGTGGCTGTTCCATGCGTTTCACGTTCTAGCAAATTTGTATCACCAGCAGTATCCAAAACAAACAAAGACATTTTTGAATTAGTATTGAATATTTACATTGAAATTTGAAATTTTTGAAAATATTTATAAACTAATCACTGCTTAGCACGCGTGAATTTTGAAAACGTCATATGAATTGTAAGACTCAAATTTGTTGCCAGATTAATTTATTTAAAAAATGGCATTGTGGTGTTGGTAACCCTTAATTTTTATTATTGACAAATATTGTTTTTAAAATGTTACATTTTTTATTTATTTTTACAGAGCACAAATCAACTAAAAATAGGTGATCTTTCGAAATTTCAATGCTGCCCAGAATGATAGAAATAGAAACAAGATTAAAGTAAATTCGTAAAATCTTATAAATCAAATAGTGCTAGTAGATATTTCATTAACAGAAATTAGGCGCGTTCTCAGTTTTTTACGCTATCTTGCTGATTTCTTCTATTTTTTTATAATATGACACGCTTCCCTAGCAAAAACTTTGCCAGCTAGTCATAGTTAGCAGTTAAGTAACACACTTAATAATTTTTTGGCGTTTCCCAATTCTCACATATGATTCTTTTTCTACCTCCTTTTTGTTTTGTTTGGTCTAATATTTGTTATTCTATTTTGTTTGTCCAATTGACTTCTTTTCTTTGCTTTTTAATAAATAAAAATAATATGTAACAAATTACATTTAAATCAATCGCAAATATTAAATTTCTAAAATTTCATTATTAGAGAATATATTAGACATTATGGATGACAGCGTATGTATTTTGAATTATTTAAAAAAACGTCAATTAAATCTTAAATTTTACAGCAGTACAATACAGAAGGCCCTCCTAGTAATCAAGGAACTCGAATTAACCACAAGGCTGGCCGATTTACGTGTCTTACATGCAGTAAGCGTTTTACAAAACCATCTCTTCTGCGCCGTCATGAGGTTATACATTTGCCAGATAAACCCTTTGAGGTACAAAATTATTCAATTTTTATAATAAATAATTTTATTTTAAAACGTATTTTGCTGGAGTAGTGCTCGGAATGTCATAAGCGCTTTTCACAAGATTCCTCATTGCGACGACATTATTTAGAGAAACACGATTCAAATTTAAAGCGTTTCCAATGCATTAAATGTCCACTCAGGTAAGTCATGCATATGTACATAATGTATTTTATATTAATCGCATATAATTTTTTTCAGCTTTGCTCAAAAAAATAATTTACGTTTACATGTTGAAAAGGTGCACCCGTCAAAAATATTGGGACATGCAAAGAGCTACGCCTGCGACCGATGTCCATCTGTATATGGGAGCAAACAAAAACTTAGTAGGCACATAAATTTAGTGCACAAAGATGGTAATAGATCTAAAAATGCTATTGATAAAATAGAAGATGATGATTTGGCATTAACTCAAAGCGTTTTGGAGCAACTCAAAACATTTCAAATGGAAATGAGTTCCTTACCAGCATCTGTCTTGGAATTTGAAGAGAATTTTGATGCTACAAACGTAAATGTCTTAGACAACCCCAAAAATTTTATTGAAGTGCCAACACAGCAACCAGAAGAAGAATGTATTATTGATGAGGTGCTACTTAAAGATCGTTTAAATGCGCAAGGTATTGAATGCTACCTGAGTGTGCAGCGCACTGTAAGGAAAGATGGATGTGCTGTATATATATGTGAATTTTGCGCTAAAGAATTTCGAAAATCATACGATTACATCAGGTTAGCACATAATAAAAAATGTGTGAAATTTAACCATATAAGAATCAATAAATATGTGATATAATTTAAGACACCGACGTGTACATACAAGTGAGCGGCCCTACAGCTGTGGATTGTGTGAGCGTGCATTCAGCACCAAATCGAAGCTCCACGAGCATATGAAGATACATCGTTTAAGTGAGCAGCAAGGCATACCGGCAAAATATTATCCCTGCGCAGTTTGTAGTAAAGGATTTAGTTCACTGCGATTTCTGGACAAACATATGAGGTATAGATATAATAAATATATACATACATACATTTTAATAAATAAATATATAATTTTGTTTTTAATGATTTTAGCACCCACGAGCAAATTTACGAAGTCGCATATAAATGCAAAATATGTGAAGAAATGTTCAAATCCAGCATCGCACTTACTTACCACAAACACAAACAATTTGATGCAGACTCTGAATTATTGCAACAACTACTACCAACACCTACTGAAATCTATACAAATGGCAATAGTACGGAAAGCAGCAGTGGAATACAAGATTCTTCCGCTGCAGATTGCCCACCAGAAACAATAATTAATATGCAACACTTAAAAATGAAGCGTGTTGTGTCTAAATGGAAATGCATTACATGCGAAAGGTTTTCCTTTGTAACTTCTGCCTATATATACAATAAATATTTATTAATTTTCTTTTTGCAGACATTTTTCCAATTCCTCCACACTACGTGATCACCGGCGTATATATCATGGGGTTTATAATCGTAAACGACGCATATCAGCTTCAGCCTTTCTTCGTTGCTTCAAATGTTCTTATTGCGCGCGTTTCTTTGAAACTAAAGCTCGTTGTAAAACACACATGTTGACACACTTGAAATGTGTACTAAACACAGATAAATCCAATCAGCAGCCGAATGCAACAAACATAATTAATGCATTAGTGTTTGTCACTAGCTTAACAAATCCTGTCTCTGTTAAAGTTGTAGAATTTAATGTAATAACAAAACGTCGCGCAACAAATATGCAACATATAATTAAAAAACGCGTAAAAAATTCACCGCAGCTTTATAAATGTAATATTTGTAAGGATAAATTTCGTAAACAATGCGATTTAAAACGTCACTTAGTTGTGCATACAGGTGAACGTTTACATAAATGTGCCACATGTGATAAAAGTTTCAGTTTGAGTAGTACGTTGAAGCAGCATATGCTAACACACACCACAGAGCGTGCAAAGCACATTTGTATCGTTTGTATGAAAACTTATTTGACCAAGAAAGCGCTCAATGTGCATTTAAGACTGCATACCGGCGTGCAGCCGTTTCAATGTGAACACTGTGAGCTCGTATTCCGCACTTCTGGTCAAAGGATAGCACATTTAAAAGTTAAGCATGGCATACAGAAATTGAAATCGACCAATAAAAAGGAAAATGCACCTTAGGTTCATTGTATGCATATTATTTTGAATTCACTGTTGTACAACTTCTATACTAACTAAACTTCAATAATTTCATTTTTATATGGAAAACAAAATACATTTCTTTTGAAGAACTAATTTTTTACAAGTCTTACAATAGTATATAGTTCAAACGCAAAAATATCAAGCTGTTGCACGAATATTTTAGGTTATATATCCTCAAACAAAAATAAAAAATTAATTACTAAAAATCACAACTTTCAAACATAAAAAAAATATGTTTCTGTGAATATAACACCTAGCGCAACATTTGAAGAAAATTAACTAAATAATAGAAACAGCACCAATATGCCAATATCATGTCCATTTACATATGAAAACCCGGCGATAGTCCATATGTGAATTGCGCTTCGCGCTCCTGACTACGCGCTAATTCCATAATTTTTTGACGCTTATCAGCTACTATGAAATCATCAATATCATCACACATCTCAGAGTCGCCACGTTTGCGTTGACGCAGTGGCGACATATGTGTGGCAACTACGGATGCCTCCTCAGCTTCACTGGCTTGGTATTGCAGATAATGTGGTGATATTTTTTTCTCCGACCTAAAATGTGAAGTAACGTTAGAATTTCAATTATATCGACAACAAAATATAATACATACATTTTCAACAAATACGGATCAAAGGGAAAGAATGTGTCAAGTGTTTCTTCTGGTGTGGCGGTATCATTAGCATACACTGTTGCTAATTTACGACGTGCATTTCGTTCTAATATCGCATGACAATAGGCCAACTGATAGGCACGCGTTACACCAGCGAATGCAGTGGCCACAGCAGGCAGACAGACGCGTAGGGGATTAAAGTTGCAAGTAACTATGGCGGACAGTTGTAGAGATTGTAGGAACAATAAACCTGCAAATTTAAATTTTTTTAGAAACATGTGCTTGAAATTAGTAAAGAAAAACATACTTTTCCTGTCAGCCGTTAAATCGCGACTGCGAAATGCTATAACATAGAAAACAGCTTGGCATAGTGAGAAAAATACAATGTTCGCCTTCAAGGAACCATTTTGACGGTACTGATCACAGCGTTGAATATACTGATGCGCCCAATCACAGAGTTCTTTGAGATAGTATTTTAGTATGCTAAAATTAAAAAAATATTGCATTTTATAATAAAAATTAATATAAACAAATATTAATTGTGAAAGTATTAAAAAAGAAGTAAATTTAAAATAATAAAAAAAAAATTAGTAAATTTAAAATAATAAAAAAAAAAAATTAGTAAATTTAAAATAATAAAAACAAAAATTAGTAAATTTAAAATAGCACTTACTGTAATGGCAAAAATTTTGCACGCGCCAAGAAACTGGCTATGTAACCAACAGCTGCCTGTCGTATGACTGCCGACACATTTGGATTTTTAATTTTGTCCCAAAGGGATTGTAGAAAAGCCTCTGCAATTGTGTTCTGTATGAAAAGGTAAATGCGTATAGTTATTTTAAAATGTATATTAAAGCTTAAAAAAGAAACTTACCTTAAAACTACTGTGGTAAAATAATAAAAACTGCACATGGTGAGTATTGTGGGAAGGCAATATCACATTATCAAAAACTGTAAGCAGCACTTTCCAAAATTTGTTCAGTTGCAGTCTTTGTTCTGCGGTTGTATTGAGAGCATACGGATTTCTTGTATCTAAGAAATTAAACATTTTCTCCATGCAAATATCGAGTGTATGCGCAATTGTATGCTTCATTGGCAACAAATCATCGACCTTTTGATTAGCGATAGAGGCTGCAGATAAATAAAAATGATGTTAGTTTTCATAAATACAAGAAATTATTGAAATAAAATTTGTACTTACATTTTTGGCAATCGTCCATTTCGAAAATTTCTTGGTCGTCATTCTCTTCTTCCAATTCCTCATCCTCTTCACATTCTGTTTCCTCTATTTCGCTTCTTGGTGCATTCACATCCAGCACAACCAATCTAAAACAGTGAAAAATTCAAATTAATATTAAGAAATTTTTCATACAAAAAATTAATTTACTTTTGCATTAACAATTGCATGACGAATTCTGTGAAAATAGGTTTATATTCAGTTAACCATAGCACGTTATGTACATAACCGGCGATTACATGAGTGGCTTTCTTGAAGTATGGAAATTTATTTTCAATAGTTTCCAGCACGACTTCAAAAGTCATTGGTATAGCTGTTAAAATACGATCCAACAAATTATGTATTGCGTCTAATTCTATTTTAACATTATCTATTGGTGTGCCATTTGGCCACATTGCCTCATCAGTATCAGCTGGTATCCACAATGAAATTAACTTGGGTATGCCGAATTCCACATATTTATTGTTTGCAACCATAATGTCAATATAAAATTCTGTATAAGCTTGCAATGCCGCAGGTTGTCTTTTTGTCCATGGTAATGAGATGAGTGCCTCTACCAGATTTGTAAATTTCGGACTTAAATCATATATTAATTTGTGTGCATCCGACATTATTTGCGAAAATTCATTGTCCTGCAATTGTAAAGAAAAATAAACGAATATTTTATAATGCATACAATAAACTTACGCTTATTTCAGTTTCTTTTAGAAATGCCACAAATTCATTTAAGGGCTGAAAGTTGTTGTGGTCATTGACAGCTTCGACTGCATCCAGAATACCCTTTTGTTTGGGTATTTCAAAACGAACTTTGTTGATGGCTATATTTTTAGCCCTTTCTCGTTCAGCTGGTGAATAAGCTTTTAGTATGGACGAGAGCCCTGTTTTAGCACTATATACCGACGACATTATTGCACAGTTATAATCGTTTCAAAGCGAAACCACTAGTCCCACAAATATGTTGCAACGTATAGGTTATAATTGGGATGGCTATTTAAGAATGTACCACAGAAATGTGATTAACCTCCACCGCAACTGGGTGTATACGTTTATGAAACTCAAGTGTATGTATTGTTCTTTTACTTCCGCGTTTTAATTGAATCACTTCACCTTTACTAAACTGCGCTAATCCTACCTCACAAGTTCCTAACATTTCTCGTTTAACTTAAAAAGAAACCAAATTTATTGGTTTTCCGACAATTAAGTCGTATTTCAAAATAATTGCAGACGTGTGCGAGAAAAGTTAAAGAGCACGTTGCGGAAAATTTCACGGGATCTTGTAAATGTCAAAAACAGTGTTGTGAAAGGAAAATTTTTCTTTGGTAGTGGCGGGCAGTCAGTGATGTATTTTGACTGTTGGTTATAGCTTAGTGCTAACAAAAATAAGTACTTGGTACGTTGTTTTTATAATTTTAAATTTTTTATAACCGTACAATGTAATTTTTTGTTTGTCATATCAACGCCTAAATAAATTTGAAAATGATGCTCACTTTTTATTAATAATTTTAATGAGAAGACAAAAAATAAATCTTCATTAGAAAGTTTAATGAATAACGGTTTAATAATTTGAGTTTATCTTCTGAAGGAATACTGTGTAATTTGAGGCATACAGATTTGAATCAAGCCTTTACCTACATATATTTTAATATTTAAAAAAATAACTTCCAGTCGCTATTAACTCGTAACATTTCATATGTTTATAATAAGAGCAACAAGTTCAGATTCCATAGAATTTGTTTCTATTTATTTTTTCACATACAAACAGAATTACATACATAAAAAAGCTCCGCTTAAGCAACGAATTCGTATGGAATTGGTGCCAATTGGATTGGTTCCTCAATCTGCTTAACGAAGTGAGCTGGTTTAGGTGCCTTGGGTTGGCGTTTCAAATTCACATATACGCCCTTAGCTTTAGCTTCCTTCAATTTAAGCTCATTCTCCTTGACACGGCGCAAGAAATCCTCACGGCACTTGGAGTGATGCACATGTTCAATACGTACATTAATACGTTTGGGTAGGATCTTACCGCGCACACGTTTGTTTACAATGACACCAACGGCATGTGGGGTAACGTTGTATACACGACCGGTTTTTCCGTGGTAAGCCTTGTAGGGCATACCCTTTTGTACGGCACCATGTCCTTTAATATCGACAATATCGCCGATTTTGAACACACGCATGTATGTAGACAGGGGAATGGTACCATGCTTGCGGAAGGGGCGCGAGAACATGTCTCGAGTGCCGCGACGATAACCCTTTGAATTGGTCATATTTTTGCTTGTCTTGGTTGCCTGCAAAATTCACAAATATTTAGTACGGATTTCATTATAGGTAATTAACGTTGTTGCTTTTGCACTTTTGTTAGGTATTTTTAGTGTGAATTTTGTGTTATTTGAGCACTTTTTCACAAAAAATTCACTAACCTTTAGGAAATGATGTCCACGCGGTCCAAGATGGAGTCGAGAAAGAGGGAAGAAAGAAAGACAAACAGTATTGCCAGTCCAATGACAAATCGGTTTTGACAGTTCGAATTTTTGACATTTGCCTATTGGTTTGTTCAACAAAGTGGTGATGGAAGAATCAGAGCTAAAATAATAATTTAATTTATTGATATGACAATTTATATTTTATGATGTATTGCGTTATATGAACATTTTTAAATTTTTGGAAAATAGTGGAAATTTTAAAGTATACCTAAATCAACCGAACAATGCATCAGCAAACTAAACCGGATGTTCGAAATTTTTTAATGTAAATTAGCAGCTCTACTTCTAATTGTCAGTAAATCAGCTGTTTATTGTCGAGTACAACAAAAATCTATAAAGCATATAAACTATTTTAACAGATTGTGCAAATTCGTACATAATAGCCAAAAAGTATCTTCTACAGATAATAAAAGATTAAGAAAATGGAACAATTCAAAGGCTTAGAGAAAACACTTTTCATATGGACACAATCATCTCTTGTACAGGCCAGTACAGAAAAATTGAAAGAGGCAACTGGCGGTGAGGTTATTCTAGAAAATATCAATCGCTTGACTTTCGGTAAGAACTATTTCATAAAAAGAAATGACTCAGCTGAAATTTATTTGGAAACTTTTATCTCCCAACATACTTAATTCAGCCACTTACGGCGAGGCTACTTTCGATCTAATTGTAATTGAAAATGCACAGTTGACAGATGCTTTCGATAAATTGCTGCGCTTGCTGAAGCCAAATGGAAAATTATATTTAGCCAGTATTTTTGGTACACCCGAAGTTTTTCAACAAGAACTAAAACTTTCTGGCTTCATTAACGTTACTATAAATAAGGAGGACGGCACTTTGACTAGTCAGAAACCAAATTATGAAACTGGCTCAGCAATCAAGTTGTCCTTTGCTAAGAAAGATGGCAAAACCCCATCGGTATGGAAAGTTAATGGTGATGGCGATGAAGAGCTAATCGATGAAGATGATTTGTTGGATGAAGAGGATAAGAAAAAACCGGATCCTGAAACCTTGAGAGGTATGCAAAATGTTTTATTTTATGATATTTAAATAATCTGCTAATAGAGAGTACAAAATAAGTGTATAATATATATTATTTTTCTCATTATGTGTAGTTTGTGGCACCACTGGTAAACGGAAGGCCTGCAAAAATTGTTCTTGCGGTTTAGCGGAAGAGCTTGAAACTGAGGCTGCACAAAAGTCTAAGGCTGACACAGCAAATGCTAAATCCAGCTGTGGCAATGTAAGATACAACTCTTCATTTTCATAAAATTATAATTAACGAATTTCTTTCTAGTGCTACTTGGGTGATGCATTCCGTTGCTCTTCATGTCCGTATCTTGGCATGCCTGCATTTAAGCCTGGTCAAAAGGTAGAATTGGCTGGCAATTTACTTAATGATGATATCTAAGCAATCACCAATACACTTTGCTGTGATTTACATGTATTCGTATTTAATAATATTGTGCAAACGCATCTAAGAATTAATATAGCATATTTAGTTCCGACTGATGTGAGGAAATAGTTTTAGGAAATCGAGATTTCTTGTCTGCAAACAAACATTACTAAACTTTGCAGCAGTTTACTTAATTTCCAGGTTTGATTTCCGAAGTTTAAGTGTGTTCGTTTGCCGTTGCCGTTTTTGGACCACCCTATTAAATCAATCATTAGATTTATTTAGCCTTTCCAAATATCTTGAAAATATCAATATTTCGTATGTAGAAGTTTTATATACGTATGTAATTTATTTTTTCATTTATGAAATCACAATATGTGTGCTTAAAAAATTTTTGTAATGAGTAGTAAACAATAAAACTTTGCACATAACAATAACTTAAAACATAGTGTGTAACATTTTGTGCCACGCATAATTATATCTATACTTATTAAAATGCATTATATTGCATACTAGCACTCGACTCTTGCTAACGTCTTACGTACAAAGAATCTTAAGCTTCACAGGGTGTACCTTTGATGAGCTCGCGATTGTTGCCATTCAAAACACGATAGTTCACTGCTGAGGGGTCCAATTCTTTGTACAAATATGTTGGCATCTTATCCGACAACACCCACACAGTACCTTCATTGTCGATTTTCATGTCGTTGGGGAACACGAGTGCGTGTGAATCGGAATCGATAAGACCTTGTGATTCCAAATCATATGGGCGTTTCACATTCCAACATGCAATTGCATCCTTATTGACTTGTGTATAAAATATAACACCAGTATCTTTGTCATACACTTCAGCGGTGGATTGGCCATTCATGCCACGATCACCAACAAATTCGAAATCGTAATAAGCTGCTGGACTCGTTACATGTGTTTCATTTTGTAAGACACGATTGGAGACTTTGAATTCTTTGGTGCTGGCTAAAGCATGGAAATAAATATCTTTTGTGTGATCAGCTTTCAAAGGACCAACCGCCAGACCAAATACACCATCTGTCCATTGGAAGTTGACGCCACCAACATTGAAGTCACCTTGTAGCGGATCGAAATGGAAGAAATTGTGTTTGACACGATATGAGCGATCGTCGCGGAATGAGTAAACCACAAGTCCGTAAGCGCCCAAATCGGGTATGTATGCGTAGGCGTCGTTGCATTCCGTGCGTTCGGCATCAATCACCTTAAAGTAAAGTAATGTATTTGGTTTGATAGATTGCTACTCTTAAGTATTCACTTACAATATTTGCGAAGAAACTGTCGTCCTTTATCTGCTCTTTTGGTATCGGGAAACGGCGCAGCACTTTGTCAGTTTTTAAGTCGAAGATAACGATGGAATTAGCCGTGATTTGCTTGGGGTTGCCCAGAATATCTGCTAATCCTGTATCCAAAACCCATAAACGATCACAAACGTCGGCTTGTATGCGGAAAGTCGAAATAATTGTGGCATTATCCTTCAATGTGGTTTCTACCGATTGCGGCTTCTCGGCATCCAAACGACCACCAGCTGAAGTTTTGGCTTCTTGTGGTTCTACATCGATGGGTAGTGTATTTGCTTCCCAGCTTGGATAGGGACGCAATTTCGGAGATTTATCGGTAGTCCTAAGATCTACGTAGTTGAGTGAAGCTGCTACTCCGGCCCTCCATCTAGAAAAATAATAAGAAGCTTTTATGAGTACACATTTATATATATGGAAGATAATGCTTTTGCAAATATTTGTTTTTTATTCATTTCCTTAGTTTTTTTTTATTATTTAGAGTTTTTATATCTTGTAAAGTATATAGGAAACCGTTATTTTATTTAAAAAGTTGTGGAACAAGTCATGTGAAATTTTATATTAGAATCTACAGATGTCACTCAGCCCAGGGTGACTACAAAAATCGGAAGTATATTTATTAAATAAAATAAATTACAATATTAATGAACAAAGAATTGAAAATAAAATTGTAGTGCGCGTGTGTATTTTTTTATACATCTTTAGATTATACTTTTAAATAATAAAAATATTTATTCTAAAATATTATTAATTAATTTAAATTTGTATATGTATTACTGGCTTGTTTAAAATAAAGTTAAAAATAATATCATTATTTCATATCGTGAAATATTAAATAAAAAATTAAAATTAAATTGTATAAAAATACAGAATAAAATTTAATAGTAAACATATTTATTCTAAAGTAAAAATATATAATTTTATATGGTAAAAAAAAAAAACCAAAAAATCGATTGATTTACAATTCGCTAAATTCTTCACTGAGATAAAAAAAAAAAAAAACAAATATTAACACACTTCATACAAATAAATCACGTTTCCAACGAACTCTTTCGCAACCAAAAGAAAAAAAACTCAAAGTCACTACAAATTAACCTCAAATCGGTTGATGATTTCGCGCCGCAATTGAGTTGCCCATCAGATTGAGAGCTGCCAATCGTATAATTAACTGTTTACGGCGATTGAGTTAGTGTTTGTATTTATGTGTGTACTTGTAACGTTATGTAATTTGCCATTGTAAGCTATTACAAGAAAGAATCGCTTGAAAAAGCTTCGGCAATATCTACTTTGCATAATTACAGTTAGAATGTTGCAATTTAATGCGCACAGCAACAAATTGCTTTAAGCCGCGTAGCCAAAACCACGAAAATCAAATTAGTTGGTACCAAGCTGGCAGCTAAAGTACGTAAACGTTTCTCCAACTCAAACACAGGGTCTTCCTAAAATTGCGGTTAAATGGGGCTTCAAGGGTAAAGTGGGTCAAAACATGTTTCCCATTAAGTTCAATTACATTGAACTAAGCTCACTTACGCTATCACGATGATAATTAGAAATTTAACGGTAATTGAATATAATATTACATTACAATATGTTGTCAAAACATTGGTAATGGCGTTGAAAATTGTTTAAATGGATTTGTTTAGTAGCAAATGCCATAACTGAAGTTGATTATAAAAGATGAAGGCGAATAAATCGCAAAAACCCTCAAGCATGTAAAATAAAGTTTGAATAATGCATCAAATAACAAAGCAACAATTGATTTGACAGAAATATGGAATATAGGAGAAATTACTGTACGTACATGAATATGTTCGCATGTGTATACTGTTATGTCTGTACTCGAAATCTCAGTATATACTGTGCTCGAAATGACTCAGCCATTTTATATATGCCTTTTAATTTATTATATTATATTACGTCAAAATGCAAGTAAACGAGCAAAAAATATACACATATGTATGTATATTGAATAATATACATATGTAACATTTTGTTATAATTTTGTTACGATTAAAACATAAATTAAAATTCGCTGTTTACATTTAACAACTATCGTTTCCTCTTTTGAGAGAGCGCAGCCATTAAAATAACAAACAAACCAACAGTTATTAGAACTCGTTAATCTCTGTTTACTAGTTATGATTTTGCTTTGCGGCATTTTGACAGTTCGAAATTAAATTCAACAATAACGCGTAAAGAAATGCAACTGCAATTTGAATTTAATAATTTAGTGATAAAAAGTGTGCATACTAAAAAATGACTTGCTAAAACGTAAAAGCAAGGCCCCGGCATTACTTTAAACATAAAAGTTGAGAGCAATAATATGAAGTGGCGGTTAAACTTTAAATACCACAGGCAGGCGATAAACAGCAATTGTGGTATTGAAATTGAGTATAACGACGATTTTCTAACAATAAAATATCCTAATATAAGACGTACACTTTGGTTGCTACAATTGGAAATCTGTCCACCTGTGTCGTTTAGAACGGAAATGTTAAAAGTGTAAGTTCAAATGTACATATGTATGTATGCAGACATCTGTGCAGCAATTACATACATATGTGAAATATGTGCAAGGCGCTCCTTCTCATCTGTTGCTTTGTTTTTAGTTCGCGCTTTGCATTTGAAAATTTGGGGAAAAGTATTAAGCAAGTGACTGCTATGAAAATTAATTTGGATAAAAGTGTAAAAAAGTGATGTTTTAAGAAAAAAATGCTGTAAAATATTATGAGTGCGCTGTTCATAACATAATAAAGCAAATTCTTCTGAGGTACAGAATTTTATTGTTGAGAAAAGTTTAAAATTTTGGGAAAAAAGTAATGTTAAGTAACGTTAAAAGTAAATAAGTAACGTTAAATGTGACGTTCAAAAGTAATTCAATAGCGTATTTTAATAGTGCTCACACTAAAGCTACACAACTGTAATTGTATACGGCTAAATTGACTATGAGGCATTCTAAATGTGATAATTGCTCTGCGCACAACAAGGTGTATGTTATAAATAAATACATGTATGTAAATAAATAAGAAGTTAAAACCTAATAATGTATATTGAAAAAAGTGAGTTCACCGGTATATAAATAAAATAAAAGCGTCATAGTTTCTAGCTCCTGCGGCATAATAGGAAAAGCGGTTAGAAAGGCGAAGAATGTGCTGGTTTTTGTTTCGAGTAGAATTCCGGTATTTTTTTTCTACAATGCGTTATGAACAGAAAAGAGAAATCTTGTTACTAAAGAGAAAGCCAAATTATAGTAAAGGAAAACTTTAAATACTTAGTAAAAGTAGAGCAGCAGGGAAATTAGCGTTGCTAATATACATATCGTACATACATATATACATACGTATGTACATCCAATTTTTTTCAAACGACAAACTTTTCCAAACAGATAGACATCAACACACTAAAGGACATAGAAGAGCAAACTTCTCACGAACATAAAAAAGATTATACTTATTCAGAAAAAAAATGTTTATCGCTTCGGTGTGATCATAAATAAGAAATGTGTGAAAGTTAAAATTAATTGAAAAAGTTGTTATCTAAAAAATAAACTAAACACAATGAGGGACTCACAACTTGTCATGACGCCTCGTAATATCATACAATCATGAATTTTTACACTTGTTTAAAATAATTGTTGTTGGATTACATACAAAAATGAGTTTACGCAATTACAATCCTTAACGCTATCTTTTCGGCTCATTATAACTGATAACTTTATGTTATTCTCATAAAAATATATAAGTGAGAAAATAAAACAAAGCGCAAAAAGTGTTCTCAAAGTATTTATTCTTAAATACATGCCAATTTTAGCTGTGTAAGTTTGTGTAAAAGATATGTTTGAAATGTAGAGATAAATGAAGTTGTTAGGTGTTAAAGTTTCGCTAAATGCCCTTACATATAAAAGAAGGCTCTTAAAGCCTCAATTAATCTTCAATAAGTGAAATTTATAAAGAAGTAAAGAATTATTAAAAAGTGAAATGTTTCAAATAAAATTATTTGATATATTTTTTTCTTAAATATCT